AATGCCATGTCCGTGGAGGAGGGGGCGGCGGGGGCCGCCGCTGAGGAGGGCGAGGGCTTCTCCTACCCCTACAAGCCCATCTTCAGCACCCAGGGGCCACCCCTGGCCAGCCTGCAGGACAGCAACTTCCTCACCGAGGCTGACATGGTCATGAGCTTCGTCAACTTGGGTGAGTGCCTGCCCTCGGCGAGGCGGCGGCCTGGATGACCGGGCGGGAGAACCGTGCCGGGGTGGGGAGGCTGGAGCAGGGCCCTGGCCACCGGCGGGAGGGCAGGGGCTGGTGGCGCAGGTGGCCCCGGTAGGGAGCTGTTTCTGCAGCGGGTCGGATGGGTGGCAGCCCACTGGGGCGAGGAAGGGCAGGTAGCGGCCCTTGGAAAGGAGGCTGCTTTGCGAGGCGGTAATTAAATGGCCGCAATGCGGAGAGCACTCTGACTTGCCGTCACAGCATTTGGACAGCCACAAGCTCTCGCCGCACACCACCCCGCGCACAGACACACTAAGTTCTTTGTCGTCTTCTCCCTTTGATAGCTACCCACCGCACCTCAGAAATCGGATTTGCAGGTAGGAGTTGAACAGGACGATTAGCAGGGCTGTTCCCCATCCCGCACCACCAAGGAAGATGCGAAACCCAGGCAGGACCACAGGTCCCAGCACGGCTCCCAGCGCCAGGCTGGTGCTGGTGCTGGCTGCAGAGCCATCAGGGCTGCCTAGACGGATAGTTCCCCGCGGCATCCCAGTGCCGCGCTCCCTCAGCCAAAGGGGCCGAGCTCCTCACACATGTTTTCCTAATGGCTTGCGAGGGATTCCACAGTAAATCCTTATTTACTCCTGCAGCTTTTTCTGTTGACCCCAGTGTATGCAGCTAACTCGCCTCTTTTCACAAGCACATGTGGATGGGTTTATGCAAATGATACGCAAGTTGGCATGCTTTGTATGCGGCTTGCTAGGCCTCTCTAATTGGATGCCACGGCCCAATCTGATTTCTATTTGCTTGCTGTAGATTGCACACCCGTGTGGACCGACTTGGCCGGATTTGAGTAAAACATTGTCGGGATGAGCATTCTATTTTAAATAGGTAATTACAGACCCTGGTTCACTCCATCCATTTTTAGACCTTGTCATGTGCCCCTCTGAAACCACCACACGTACAGATTGGGTCTCTGCACGTTCAAGACAGAATCTGAATAGTATTTCCAAAACAAGATCAACTCAAACTTTGTCCCACACAAAGGGACATGCAAAGAGCAAGAGGAACCCATCTCTGGCACGTAACCTGCTAGGGATTACAGACACCCGCATCGCCAGTAAATCCATTAACGCCTTTATGGATGTCACTGTTCTGGACACTTCCACTGTCTGGGACTTCAGAGGCAACAAAGATTAAATCACCACCTAAATCACCACCTCTCTAATCCCGGCACTTTAACTAACTGAAAAAGATCAGTAGCTGTAAAGGTTCCGTGACACACGTTAATAATTATTAGAGACGGTAGCCATCCTGGCACAATTCTTGCACGATAGGGAGACACGGGACGCTGTGGGAGATCTCTAGTTTGCATGAGCCGCATCTTCTTATTAACTACCATAAGCTTCCCAGCGGGAAGCTCTGCATTACATCTGGCCCGGGGGCTGCGCTCTCTGAGCGCGCTGGTGCTTTCCATTTGGAATTACAGTGGTTGGCTAATCGCTGCTAGATACTTAAGCCGATCAGCAATGATACATTTAAAATCAAATATTTGAGCAGCCAAAAGTACCAGTGGCGGTCAAATATTTGACTTTAGAGATAAGAGGGATCTCGCTAACATCGTTCTCTGTGGTTCTTGGGTCCTACACCATGTACAACCAGAGTGCGGGGAGAGCCCCCAACAGAAGACAAAGGATGTTGAAATAACAATAGGGAAATTCACGCTTCCGTTTCCAATTCGGTAGAAAGGAGAGAACCTTTGTGAAACATGTAAGTACCTAATGGAAGGGAGTTTAGCCCTGGGGAAGCAGCTCTGCTCCTGGGCTGTAGATATTTACTGCATAACTTTCATCAGCGAAACTGCAGCGCTCCCGTCCTGTGTAAGGAAAAGTCACCTTTGCAGCCCCTGGAAATTTTACATAAAAGGAATTAATGTTCAAGTTCCTCATTTTGTTGAATACGAATGAATGGAATTGATGCATAAACTGTGAAATACAAATTACGTTTTGCACGTGTCTGTTTCTAAGTGAGAACTGCTTACCGAGCAGGTTACACCTGTACAAACTGGACGTAATCGATAATCGACATCCTGATGCGATGTGATGACCATAGTGGGTATATTCATTCCTTTCGACCTGCTGGCTTTTGTAGCCGGCTCAGAAAGCCAAAAGCGTTCTTTCTGCAAAATACTTAATTATCGCTTTATTAATTGCTGTTAGCGTGGTCAGTGGGTAGTAAGAGCGCAGGTAAAATCCAGTAGCTTTAGGAAGGACAGGTGGAATTATTACCAGCAAGGCACATTTCGGAGGTTTGTCTGTGCTGTTTTGTTCCCTTGTCAACAGTGCATGCCAGGACAAGTTTAAAAAGGACATAGATCTCTAATAGCTTTCTTCATCACTGTGCACACCTTTCATCCCATTATACTCATCGGTTCTTTCATCTTTATAGGACAAAGACAGGCTTGTTTACGGACGCTTTAGTGAATTAGACCAGCCACTCACTCCCGTATATAGTCAAATACAACACCTGCTTTGAGACGTACAGTTTTCTGTGACGTTCAGGGAAAATTAGAAGATCCTATTGTAGAACTGATATTTTTGGGGGGACTTTCGACAATGATCCCTTTTAAAGCAGAGCTGAATTGCTAAATGCAGCCTGTAGTAAACTGTGTCCTAGTTTTGTAAGGGATACTCTGCGAGCGTTGCATTTCACAGGTAGGCTTTTATTACTATACGAGAGCCATCACAATGAGGAAGTGTCACAGCATAGTATGTTTCATCTTAGAATGGAGGAAGTAAAAGTGAGTAGAGAAATAATACTTTTAAATTTCAAGAAATAAAACACGTTATTCCAGGCTTCCAAATGCTAATCTACAAACCCACTTTTTTTTTTTTTTTTTTTTTTGCTTTATTCATATTCTTCGTCTATTTAGTCGTACAACTGTAGAGGAAAAAATATTTAAGAAAGAAAAAGAAAAGATTTACATTGTAAGATTTACTGGGCTACATAGCAAAAATAACCCAAGAATCCCCCCCTTGATTTCTATGGAGGTTCTGTGTATGTTTATTCCAGAGAATTTATACTGGGTCTTGGTAGGGAGGAACCAGAATACAGGTGCTCCATGTCAGGGTTACGTTGCAGGGAGCTTTGTATTAAGCATGCAATGTTACTGTAAAATCTTGACAATTAATTAGATTTAGATTTATAACCAGTTAATTCACAGGCTACATTTTGTCTTAGCTTACACCTGTGCTAAGATGGATGGGGAATGGATTTCTGTCAAGAATGAAGTTACATGTAAATTAAAAGGGAATTTAGCCACAGTGGTCTGACCAAGTTAGTCAGTTAATTACTGGCTAATTTTATAAAATTTATTACTATAATTTCAGTAGCTGGAATTCCGTTTCAGATCCTGTCCAAGTACAGTTTACAAACTGATACATTTTAGGAACTGAAAAAATGCAAAGCTTTTTTTGCACAAGTTTAATTTCAAGTTTATAAACAGCAACTAAGGAGTAAACATCCTCTAGATTACTTAGACCCCTCGACTAAAAATAATCGAGTTGTCCTTATGTGGGTGATCTTGCCTTGGTAAACAGACTTGCTTAGAATATTTTTTAAAAGAGTCGGCACAAGTGATATGCAATTTGTTAATTTGTCTCGTGGTTGATTATAAAATGAACAACGTTGTTTAATCCTGGCAAAAAGTAAGGGGGGGGGGGGAAATTAGTCATTCTTGGAAGGAGCACATGAAAGTGGCTTTTGTTAATGTAAATCAAGAAGCTGAAGAGCCCCCAAGTTTCCTTTTATTTCATACCATCTGGCTATCCTTTTTGTTGACAAGTGTTTGGCATAGAGAACCATCTCTTTGCCCTTTAATAACAGGCTTTAACACTGTAGGGTATTAGAAAAAGATTCTATAACAGTTAAAAAATTTCCTTCGGGGAATACTTTATAAAGTGAGCACGGGCTGCAGGCATTTGCAGCTGTAACCTGGCTTGTGTTAAAATTTGGAAGGGGCTGCCTCGCATTCCAGCTCACTACAGGCCTTCATTGGTGTACAGCCAAAGGTTAATATAGATGTCACACAGTTTTTCTTTGGAGAGCCTCAGATATAAGAGTACGCGTACAGCTGTGTTTTTAGTAACCCTTTCATAATCACTTCTTTTAAACCTCATTTTCCTGCTTATATAAATCAAAGATTTTCAAGGATATTTGACCTGGATTTGAACTTATTTGATCTTCACATATTTCCCACTTGAAACAAAGCAGATTAAATGCTAGCCCGGGATGCCTGGCCATGATCACATGCTTTGTCCATACATTAGGCCAAGCCCTCGCCTTTTTTTTTTCTTTTCTTTTTTTTCCTCCTCCACCTAGCGCAGTTATAAGCTCTCAAGCCTGAACAGGTACATGCTGTAATTGTTTGGGACAGTATGGATATGTGCAACCCTCGGTGGTATAAGCTTAGCTAAGGTAGAGAGCTTGCAGCAAACTAAAGGTATGAAGTACGGTGACGCTGCAGCAAATAACCGCCGGGTATTCTTTGAACGTGCGGACCTGTTCTAGAGAGAAATGAATTAATTTCCTAATTTTCAGGTGCAAAATGGCAGAACACAACAGGAACTATTTACATCCGCCATACAGGCACGGTGGTAGCAGAGAAGGGAGCAGCTGAGGACAGATGTCCTCCTGCAAGGAAAAAGGACGTGGACATCGTCCCCATACGCTCGCACGCTTCTGCGGCGCCTTTATCCCCGAAGCGGGGTCTGTCCTGCGTTCCCACACAGGCTGTCCCGGGGAGGCGAAGCCCCCTCCGGGAACCATAGTTTAAAAGGCAAAACACAAGGGCTTGTCAAGTGCTTTGAAGGAGACAAGCCCTGATGGCCAGATCTTGTGATGCTTGTAACGGGAGTTGGGCACAAGTGAAGCGTGCAGGACCTGCTCCCACCCCAGCGCTGCTCCCCGGCGGTTTTCCTTGTGTG